CAGCCTGATGAAGGTCTGTCATGTGACTCGAGCTTCAATGTGGAATTTAGCTGAGTGCTTTGTTTACAGTGATTATGTACCCACGTTTCAGAATTGTTCAGTATATTAATTCACAGGAGATTGGGATTACCTTTCTTTTGGTTCACAATAAGCACAGTGTTCATCTTAACACTGAATAATAATTTAAATATTGTAATGATGGCATAGGATTGTTTTGTTTTAAAGACATTAAACCAATATTATGTCATCCATCATCTTTACCCGCTTCTTCCTCTCCAGGTTGCTGGGACCACTGGTGCCCATATTCAGCCACCACTGTGCGAGAGGTGGGGGACACCTGGACAGGTCTCCAGTCCATCACAGGGACACATAGAGACAAATGAGACAAACAATCATTCACTCTCTCTCTCACCTAGAGACAATTTATAGTTACCAGTCAGTCTAACATGCATGTTTTGGTCTGTGGGAGGAAACAGGAGTACCCAGAGAAAACCCACACATGCACGGAGAGAACATGCAAACTTCACCCAGAAAGTTTCTTGGCCAGGATTCGATCCGGCAACCTTCTCACTGACGGCCAACAGCTCTACCAACTGCACCACCATGCCACTTATATCAGTGTTTTGTATTTTATTTATTTAAATGCACTTTGCAAAGTAAGTTGCAAATTACATGTAATCTGTAAAATGGATAATAATAATCAGTCTGTAAAAGACCGTGAGCTTGTTGTGGCTCCTCGGACTGATGAAGTCCTTTGGATGAGAGACGAAACCTTTCAACACAAAGAATCTATCCAGAGGACCTGACTGAACTTTGTTGGATTTTTACTGGATTATTGAACATGAACTTTGATACATGTCGTTGTGTTCTTGATCACATTTGAACATTTCTTCAGTTTTCTTTTTGACGCAGCCCTGCTACAACTTTATTTTCTAAAGCTTGAATGATCATAATGTAAGCATATGCTTGATGATGATGATGATTGTGTGTGTGTGTGTGATAGTAAAATGTTTCATAAACCACTTGATGGATTTTAATGAAACTGAAAGTAATCTGTATGTGTACCTTCACAGCTTGTGGAGTCAGTACAATTCAAGATGGCCGTCAAAGCTAATTAAACTTGGCCAACACAAGAACGTCTCTAACCCAATTATTTGTACAGATATTGAGTTAAAATCTTTTGTGATAGTAACTGAGAGTCATCCATAATGCATACACTGAGCACCGACATCTTGAACGAGCTCTGTACTTCAAACTGCCTTTAACTATTAGTCAACACGGTCTGTCTGTTAGCAAAATATCTCATGAACCACTGTATGGAATTCATTGAAACTCTCAGCTAGTTATCATGAGGTGCACCTCTGCAGGCGATTAACGTTTTGGATTCAACCCAAGTCAAGACGGCTGCCACAGCCAGTCAACCTTAGCAAACACAAGAATGGCTATAACTCAACCAGGTTTAAATGTATTCACATGAAATCTGATGCAGCTTTTGCTGACATCCATCCTCATCCCATGCTCCAAACACTACCAGATTATGCAAAAACTTTGCTTAAGACTAAAGCGTGCACTGGTTTGGACAATCAACGTTTCTTTTAGTCTTATATTGTATTCTTAATTAAGCGATTAAAATCATTACCACGGACCAATGACAAGTCTCTGATGAGCTACAAAAAATGTTCAAGTTGTTGGAGATGAAATAATTTACTGTAAATCTGTGATATTTTGTTGCTTTTTTTTTGTATAACTATCACTTCTGGCCTTAAAAGTTGAGTGTCTGAACTTCTCCAGAGTTGATTCATCTTGTCAACTTGGAAAAATCTATTTAGACTGTGACAAAAGTTATTTCCCAACAGTTGTTTTGTTTTCAGAGCACGTTTGCAACTCTGGAAATAAATCTGGGTTCTCAAGCGTCTTGCTGAAGTTTATATAACTGAAGAAAAGCATACAAATAACCCCAATAAACTTGTGCTTCTTACGAACTTGAGGTTGTTTTTTTTTTTTTAATACAGAAAGTGAACAGACGTGCACCCAAAACCTTTATTTTCATAATAACGCACAAGAAAATATTTGACTTGCTGTGGGAGATTTTTTAAATTTAGATTGTCAGTTCGACGTTTGAGGACGATGAATCCCATCTGTTATCCAGATGTGTAACACGGTTAAACAGCTGTATCATTTTGCTGATTTGATTAATCAGTTTGCTTGACTGATCTCATCACTTGGCTCCGGGATCAGTGAAGCACTCTGATCACCACGAGGTCCACTCGGTGCACCGGTTAGCGAGCACAGAAGAGTGCGGGTCACCGCTGCTTCCAGCTCCATGACGCTAACATGCAGCGCATTAGTTTCACTGGAGCTGCATCAGCTGGTGAAACAAATGCAACAAAGTTCAGAGGTTAACTTGGAATCGTTTAACCTCAGAGCAATCCAGCAGAGCGCCCGTCACACGAACAGAGCGATGGAGAGGTGACCCTGGAAATGGAAAAAGGCCTGCAACAGACCTTCATGATTACATGCCACCTTCTTTCTTAATGATTAGAGGTGAAGGCACGTCGCTGCAGCTTTTAAACACTCTGTGCTACACTTGAAAACAAGAAGCAGTTTTTCATCATGGAATAAGATTGATATCAAACCACATCCAATGCCTTGATTAATGAAGTCTTTTAATTGTCGTCAATTAATTAATTAACTTTTGAGTTTGAAAGTTGATGCCATTATATTCATCATTAGGAGTGCAAGTAAACAGAAAACATCTGTGCTAATCAAATGATCATTTTATTTTCTTATTTTAAAGACGTTTAAAGATGAGAATAATCCAGTGAGCAATGAAAGCCGTACCGAGGCACTCGTTACTGTTCAGGGTTTGTAATGCTGCTGTTTTTAGGACTAAAATGAAAACATGCAAGTTCTTCATAAACACGTGTGGCTCGATTGTGTGCTATGGCTTTTGTTAGCAGCTGCACATTGTATATGAATAAAATTGTAAAAATATAAAATAAAAATAAACCAGCGAGGACCCAGCAAGGTTCTGTCAAAACATCTGGACGGTTTTTTTTAATGTTTCATCCTTCATCCAAAGGACTTCATCAGTCCGAGGAGCCACAACAAACTGAGTCCCAAGTATCACACTCATCGTAGAACAACCAGTTTGCTGGAGATAAGATGGTTTCTGGAGTCCGCCCTTTCCCCCGCCGACTCGTCTGAGGCAGCCATGCCAAAGTGGTTCAAAACATCAAAGTTCACGCTCAGTAATCCAGGTAGAAAATCCAACGAACCGTCCAGATGATCTGACTGAACTTTGCTGGACTTTCTACCTGGATTATTGAGCATGAGCTTTGATGAAAACCAGCGAGAAAGTTTCCCATTCATAGAAGTGGGATGTTGAGAAAGCAAGTGAGAAGAACGTGGTCCTCCTCAGCTGTGAGCCACTTCACAGCAGAAACATCAGTCAAAGTTTAAACAGGTCACAGAAAGCTGGACTTTACCCTGGAATAACATTTTAATATATTTAGCTGCTTTTATACAATTAAGATCAAGTTTAACGAGACCTACTGTTTAGTCTGTCTGTCTTTCAGGGAATGGCAGACAGGTGTGTGGTTACCATGGTGACCTTAAACCACAAGGAGCAGGTTCAACTTTTTTTATAAATGATCTTTTTTTCTCCTTGACACAGCTTTTACAATTTACGTCAGAGGTTAAACAGTATTGTTAGATCATGAAGTCTTTTCTCCAGGGATGATCTAGTTCTCGAATGTCTGCATGCGTGTCGCCACGTATGATGAGGGGGTCACCTCCCTAACTGGAGCTTCACGGGGCCCTCTAATGAAGACCTTGTCCTTTAATTTGTGACGCCTCATTGATCACTCACAAAGCTAGCTGTCTGGGGGCTCTTAATACCTCATCTTGTAACCCCCCCACATCAAAACTACCTGTCATCTTTTTCTCTGCCAGCACACTTTGAGCAACAAGTCCAGCTTCTAAGAGCCTGTTCGAGTCTGAGGCACAGGATGAGCTGAATTTAATGAACTCTGCTGAAGCCTCCTCCTTCTCGTGCCGTCAGACGTGCCTCCCCTCTAACCTTCGTGCGCCAGCTGGGGGGACAGCAAGAACGACAGCAAAAGGTTTGTGATTACCTTAGGATCAGGTGGTGTAGTGTGAAATTGTTGCCATGGTTGAACAGTGCACCTGCATACATGTAAGCCACTAACTGCTTGAAATGATGCCAAACAGGAGCCTTCGAGAAGATGCACTCTGTAATGAAAACTGACCTGAGAGCTTTTATTCCCTTTCCATAAAATCTTTATGGAAATGCTGCAATTAATGCTGTAATAAGTTTAAAACTGCAGTGGGATTGTGTATCGCTGCTCATCACCCAGGAGGAACTCTGGTAAACATCTTCCTCAATGACACCAGCAGCACAGATCCCCCCCGTCAGAAACAATGAGCTTTAAACTTTATGTTTACAGCCGTGATGCTGCAGTCGGAGGCTGTTTGTTGACAGTGGAGCTCCCAGGCTGTGGGGGCAGACGGTTCAAAGTTAGCACCTGTTCAGGGGAAACATCACCCACACCTGCACTTCTGTTTGAACTCAACTGAGAAGAGTCCCTGCAAAATGGAATAAATGGCTAGACTTTTGCTACAGAAACTGGATTTTTATTTCCACTCTATCAGAGCAACAGACACAGTAAAGATTTTTTTTTTAAATGAAGAAACAAATGGAATGTTAAAAACATGAAAAAATAAAACAAAATCTAAGTTTAAATTGTTTAAAATCATCAACACTATACCTTAAAGTCTCATGTCTGAAGTGCTGCGTACATTCAGACTTATGTACAAGTCCAGTTATAAAAAAATTATATAAAACTCACATGAAATCATTCTCAACTATATTTACTTGGTTTCAACAATCTTAAGAAGATCCTGAACTGCATTAAAAGGCATGAGTTTTTATCTGTGCTGTAAGTTTTGACGAGAGGTGAGGAACCACCTCTGTTCATTTATGATGTGAACAGATCACAGATGGTCAGGTGAGTTTTAGACACAGAGAACGCCGGGTACAAAGGGACTGAAAACTCCTGCCTGTAAGAATGAAGTAAAGCGAGACTGCCCCCTGGTGTCACACTGAAGAACGATAAACTGCCCTCTTCAAAGTCGAGGAACACTCCCAGTCTCTGCAGCCCGTCTGCCTTCACAGAAACGGACTCCTTGTTGTGCAGAGCTTCCACCTTCCTTCGGTCATAGGCCAGGCACCAGGAGGAGCTGTTGAACCCCAGGCGAGAGCTGTCCTTCTGGCCTTTCCTTTCTATCTGACTCTCGCAGAGCCCCACCTTCCAGCGGCCGTCGTCTGCGGACACCATCACCTCCCAGTACCAGCGCCCTCCCTCCAAGGCAGAGGAGGCCAGAACCTGCGGGAAGGAGCTGAAGCGAGCCTCGTGCTCTGAGTAAGCCTGCTGGGAGTCGCTGTAGACCACCCTCCTGTTGTTTGCAGACAGCTGCAGCTTCGAGTGGGCTGTATCTGCATCCAAGACAGGAACGGTGCCATCTGCACACAGAAAACAAAGTTATAGAGTATTCAGACATAAAGATGCAGACTAGCTGAACACAGGAGGGCTTTGAGGCGCTCTATCAGCGTAATTAGCTACAAGCGTCTTACAGAGGAGTCTGTAGAGGTCTCTGTCTTTGCCAGGCATGGTGATGACAACCGCATCCAGACGTTTTTCTGTCCACTTCTCCAGGCAGCTGAGTCTAGCATGGTCCAATTCCTCTGGACCCTTCAACTTCTCTACAATATTCCCCACATCGCTGGAGGAAGAGCAGAGTCAAAACACAGTATTGGAATTGATAGAATTACTGCTCGTTGTCCAAAAACAGGCTGAAATATTGCAGTGACGAAACAATACAGTTGTATCTGTTTGATATTCAACACTGGGTCAAGCAGGGCGTGGCTAGGACGGTTGTCTTCCAATCACACGGTCAGGGGTTCAACGTGTCAGACACTGAACACACCAACATCTCTGATATGCTGATTATACTGTTGTATGAGATTTAAAGTGCTGTGTTTTGTATTTAATGGGAAGCAGAGCAGGGTGAATGAGAAGTTCTGTAAAGTGCTTTGCAGAACCTGGAGATTACAAAAGTGCTATAAGTGTGAGCCACTTATCATTTAATAAAGAATATATATATATATTAAAGGATGTTCAGACTCTGCTATATAAACACTGACTCTGAGGAGGCGTGTCTTAAGAGAATTTGTATCAATGTTATTTTTTTCTAATGAAGTAAAATTAGATCATGGTCATGATCTTTAGATCATTTCTAAAATTAGATCAATGCATGTGGAAAGTATTCTTCATGTATTGCATCAACTCAAACTGTTATTTTATTTTAGCTAGCAAACTGCTAACTCTTCATTTTGCATAGCAGACATTAAACAACTTACAGCTGAGAGACGCTGCTGTATTCCTGCAAAGTCAAAAATGGGAAAATATCAATGAAAGTTTTGTAAAGAGAGAAAGCTGTTCTCTGAGAACCCAACCGACCATGATGAAGGCCTGATCCTGAACACGTTGCTCTCCCCTGGCATCAGCCAGACCCTCCAGAGTGTGGAGGCTGCTCTGGATGGACTGCAGGGAGCTCTGGAGGATGCAGAGGTCCTTCTCCAGACTCCCCAGGACCCTGTTCTCCTCCTTCATCACACACTCAAGAGCTGACTGCTCCTCCTGCTCCAAAGCCTCTCTGATGGTTCTGTACTGCTGCTTCACTCCTTCTTGTGCTTCAGTTAAAACTACCTGAACAAACAACAAAAAACAGCAAGCACCCTTAATGATAAAATCTCAACGGGTAATTTGATCAACACCTAAAGTTAAGGCTGTTATGAACAGGGGACATTTCCTGATGCATGCTCAATAATCCAGGTGGAACAGGGGAAATTCCTTCATGTGGGTGTGCAGGGAAGATAAACAGTTCCTGGAAATGTTGAGTTGCCGAGTTGTTTACTTATTGCTCAGCAGATGGGTCACATCAGATACTGAGGGTAAATGTTCATGTGCTGATCACAAATCTGGATCATTTTCTTCAATTCATACAACAATATATTTAAAAGAACAGTATCTGATTTCATTTGTGTAAAATAAATACAATCCTAGGTCACGTACTTTTATCTAAGCACACAGATTACCAAATTTTTCGTCATACACGTCGCACCGCCCTATAAGTCACATCAGTCCAAATATGTAAATCCATAAATATGTCACTTTACCGTATAAGTTGCATCTATTATGTGTCACCACTGATGCGTTGCGTTTGTTACGCATCACTGATGACAACCCGGAAGTGTGGGCCGGTGTTGTGCCAAAAATTGATTGGCTGCCACGGGGGTGTGCATGGGAGGACTTTAACAAGAATTTAACAAGATTAATTCTTAAAAACAATTATTTGTTTGCTCAGAATTATAGTAAAGGTGTGTCTCAGTCTAACTTTTACTTAATAAAAGGACTTTAACAGTCAAATCAGAGGCATTTCAAAAGTATTTGCTGCCTCAGTGCTCCGGGAGTGTGCAGACAGGGAGGAAATCAGGAATAGGCGTGTCGCAATAAACAATAAATCAATTAATCACTTGATAAATTAAAAATATCGGTCTCATTTTCATTTATCGACTTTATTGTTTCTTCATGTCTCTCTTTCTACTGAAGACGCTGGATGACAAAAAGCTCAACACCGGTGTTTTTCACTGACCCCTCCCTTTCTCTTTAAAATCAGTTTTAACCTCCAAAATCACGTTTTTGGATCGTTAAAAGCAGCTAAGCTAAGAAGCTAAGCTACGAGCTAAGCTAACAGGCCAACTTTGGGAACAAAACGTCTGTCTTGTCAAAGCTCCAAAATTCATGGTTGTAACCCGTGCCTTTGTCTAAAAAGTTGTTTTTCTCTGCAAAAAGAAGCTGAGAACTTGTTTACTGAATTTTTTAATTAAAAGCTTTGTATGAAATATGCTAAAGAAACCACAAAGAGCGTCCGCCATTTTGTGAACTGGAAAAAGGAAAGAGAGACAGCCCATGTTACATCAAGGGGCCTCCCTCCCATTCTTCTTAAAGAGACATGCTGCTGCTCCCTCACTATCCATCCTTCAGTTCAAACAGTCTTATACTGCCATCCAGTGGTCAAAAAAGGTACTACGCATAAAACAAATTGACCAACATTTCTTCTTAAATTTGACAATATTTACTAATTATTGTCAAATTTCAAACAATATTATCGTTTATCGCAATAATTTCTGAGACAATTAAACACCCAGAAAAATTTATTATCATGACAGACCTAATCAGGAAGGAGAAACGATGTGCATTTCTTAGAAATTTAACAAGATAACTACTGGTACCTAAAAACAATTATTTGTTTGCCTGACATTATAGCAAAGATGCACTCTGTAGCACTTTGAGATTTTTGTTAATGAAAAGTGCGTTACAAATTAAATTCATTATTATTATTATTATTACTATTAAAGATGTGTCTCTGTTGAACTTTTACTTAATAAATGCACTTTAATGGTCAAACTAGCTGCATTTCACCGGGACGGTGCAGTGAAATGAAGCTGATTTGACGGTTACTCCAGACGAGCTGGACGAAGGTGGCAGGCTGTGCCAAGCCGATTGTGTCATTAATAGCCACTTTTACCTAGAATACTGTATGACACAACGGCATGCCATACTACTCGAGTGCCATCTGGCGGCTGAAAATGGTAGTGTTCAATATTTTCAGTCAGAATGAATGAAAACGGTCAAATCTCAGCCAAAAAATATAAATATGGGGGAAAAAAATTCATAAAAATGTCGCTTCGGCCTATAAGTCGCAAGGCATGCAAATTATGCAAAAACCTGTGACTTATAGAGCGAAAAATATGGTAATTTGCAACATAAATGTGACCCCAAGTTAGAGCAGACATCTTGTTGTAGTGTAAGCTAAACATGCGTGTAAATTAAGGACGGCTTCCTCTTACTCTGAACGTTTCTTTCTTCTGTGTGAGTTCAGCCACTCTGCTCTTCACTTGCTGTTCAGCATCCTGCAGCTGCTTCATGTCTTCCTTCAAGTTGGCCTGAGGAAAACATTTGCAAAATTAAGAATATAATACAGAAATTCTTATGTCAATAAGTTTTAAACACATTTATACTTTGAACTGCAGCACGGGGACCATGTTAGAACCATTCGTCTTTTCTCAATAACATCTCATCTGTCTGATGAGAATAGTGGCTTCAAACTATATAACAAAATTATTTTGTAAAAAAAAAAAAAGTGTTTATTAATAAAACTAAATCGAGGTTCAACTCAACTACAAAATGTGCACAAAAACATAAATAACATTGCGTTGTTCTTACTTAATGTTTAAGGTTTTCAGAACTGGAATCTATAATGGGTTACATCTCACACAAGGACTCTGATATTTCAGACTGAAGCGTGAAAAGCCGATGCGCTAAAGAGTAAGAAACACACATGAACAGTATGAAACTGCACCAGAGCAGCACTCACCCGGAGCTCCATCTCCGCCTCCCTGATGCTGATGCAGGCATGGTTGCGGTGGCAGCCTATGACAGTACAAACAGTACACACACACACTGCACACTGTCGACAGTAGATGCGGTTTATCTCCTGGTGCTCCTGGCACCTCCAGAGTGAAATGTCCTCCACGGGAGGAACCAGGGTGTGATTCTGGAAGACCACCGATTCCAGATGGGGCTGGAGGTGTTCTTTGCACATGGAGGCTCCACACACCAGACAGGTCTTCACTGCTGGCTGACGCTCAGTTTTAGGGCAGTAATGACAAGAGACAGGACCTGTGTGCTTGTTCTCTGGCGTGAGGAAGACGCCAACACGGTTAGAGGATCCTGAAGCAGCTGCAGGACTTTTGGAGAATATCAAAGGTATCTTGCTGGCTTGCTGTGCAGGGCTTGAAATTTTCCCTGGAGTGGAGATCCCAGGTTTGCAATCAGAGTTGGCAGGCGAGGCAGGTTTCTTTGGTGAGACGTGGGTTCCTGTGACACAGAAACCTTTCTTGGGGGTTGCAGAGGAAGATGTATCACACAAATCTACTTCACTGGAGCTGTCAGAGTCAGACGGTAATTCAGATTTACGCTGGTTCTGCGTGATTGAGATGTCTTGAAGCCCATCGCTTGGAGGTACTTTGCTGTCAGAGTTCTCACTGTTGGATGTGCCATCACCACGTTCAAACTGTACCGATTCTGGGTCAGCTGCGTTTGTAGATGTCCCTACGGCGGTCGACTGCCCGGGTTTGTCTGACAGAGAAGTGGAGGAAGACCGAGTGTCACCGGACCGCTCAGAGGGAGACTCCACAGCTGTTCGCTTTGCAACATGTTCCTCTGAAACTGGCGTGCTGGCCTTTCTCTTCCCAAGGAGTCGACCGGTGACTGAGGGCCTCCTCAGGTCTGAGTCAAGTGTAGTGTGTTGTGTATTACTGGATGTGCCTGCACAAAACACGCATAGCAAATCCGTTAAAACAGGTAGAATTAACAATTTTACAACAGATAAACACCATCAAGTTATTTTATTTTACAATCAATAAAAAGTGTGACTTTGTAAAATTCTAACAAATAATGTTGTAAAAAGTTCTTTCATTAAATAATACATTTTGTATTAGTCTTGTACGCATTAGAATGAAGCCATTCTTTTTTTCCACATCTATTTTTTTCTCGGGAGTAAAGTCCAGTCAACTCGTTGTAAGAGTGAATTGTATTTGACTTTTTTTTCGTGTCAGCAGGTTAAGAATTGTGTTTGTTACAGGCTAATAACCGCGTGCTAGCCTTAATGTTTCTGTTTTCACGTAACAGCACTTTGGCTAACGATGTTGTTAATAAAGTGCTTTATAAATAAAGTTGTTTTGTATTGTTCGTGACAAGCAGCGTGAGCACACCTTAACAGAAGCTAACTAAGCTAGCAGCTAACTGTAAAACTTTGACAGTAAAGGTCTCTCGATTTAATTTGAAGGCCAGTTAAAGCAGTGTTGCTACATTAACTCGGTGTACCTGCAGTGCTGCGGCCCGGAGGCTTCCGAATGAAATTAAACGGCAGAGTCTGGTACACAGCTTTACACCTCCACTCCGGACAGTGGAACGGTCCGCTCGGGGTAACGCTCCACAAGTCTCCGATACATCGTTGGCAGAACCGGTGGTTACATTTCAGGGTGACGGGGTCCCTGGTCATGTCGTTACAGACAGGACACTTCGTCGGTGTATCCAGCGCTGCACCCATTTTGTTTTGGCTAACGTTTAATTTCTGTTTCCGCAACAAAGGGGGCGGGGCCACACATTTGAATCCCGCTTCCTCCACGATCGAGTCTTTTTTTTTTTTTTTTTTTTAACTTTATTAAACTATTACAACATAACAGAACAAACATATAACAAAAATATTCTGTCATACCTCCTAAGGTCTACATATACTTAAACAAATTAACATATTATTCAGCATAAATTCAAGTTTAAGTAATTATTATTATCAGATAAACAGTAAATAATATGATGAAATCAAAACACAGAACTATTTATCTAACATTCTACATAATTACTAAAATAATTTGTCAGAGGGCTATATTATCTGAGCGAAGTGATCAGAGAACATTTTTGCTTGTGGTTTTTTAGCACTGTCTAATATTAACATCTGGAGTTCTTGGATGAATACAGCCCATAACGGCTTAGATTTGCCATATATACATTTATATATATATAATTTCAAGATTATGATAATGTTATTAACAAAGTATTCATCTTTTTAGTTTTAGATGCATATTTATATAAGACATTCTGAAGGGCGATGGAGTCTATCTTAATGGACTTGATGGTCAGAAGATCGTGAAGGGATTTCCATAGCGTCACAAAATGACAGAAATAAAACAAATGTTCTGATGTTTCAGGTTCTCTATTTCTGATAAACTCATTTGAAGGATAAATATTATTTAGAGTTTTGAAATGTAATTATTTATATGTTGGTGGAAGAGGGAAACCCAGATATTTTGTCATTATTTTTATTCTTTCCTTCTTATTATAAAACTCATAAAACTTTCTTCTTACCTGACGAGTATATCATGTTTTTATTAAATGTTGTCTTAAAAAATTGTTGTTACATTTTTTTTCTGTATTAAATTTAGTCCATTGAGATTGATGCTCGGTAAACTAATTGCTGGTTTATCTTCATAATTGTTATTTTGAGTGAGTTAAAGAGGAAGTTCAGTTTTTTGATGTGGGGGGTTGTGGAGGTGACGACTAGGTAATATCTTACCTGCAGTAGATAACTCTTTGAATGATCTCAGTTTGAAGGATCAGAGGTCAGTTTGGGGTTGATGGTAGAACTAAAAGTTCAGTGGGAACAAGAAGTTGATTACTGCCATCCTTATTTCACTCTCAAAGTTTCAGTGCAGTTCATTTTGACACTTTAAAAAAAGATTTTGTAAGTGTGTTTATAATAGTGTTGACAAAATAGTTATGTAACACAGACGTTAAGGCCAAAACACCATGAGCACCACTATCTATCTGCAGTAAAATCTTCATGTTAATGTAATCAAATAGAATTTTGCTTGATTAACAAAATAAACATATTTCTCAGATAATGTTTTTACACAAGATGGCCTGCTGATTCACGCACTTCTTATCTAGATGCTGTTTGAATAATGTTTTTACTTTTAGTTGTAATTAGTAATTTGAGGCATAATGTTTCATGTTTTAGTCGAATGGTTTATTCAGAACAGCTTGAAAATAATGATAAATAGTTTGCCTTAAATGCAACTTTCAAAGGTATTTTGTGCCTCACATCTGGGTTTTTGCTAAGTCCTCTGGCTGAATTTTTAAAACTCTGCCTGAACTTCATGGACATTTTTGTTAGACTCACTATAAAGCAACGTTAAACTATGTTGAACTACAGCCAGACTGATCTTTTAGGTGTTCAGTGACCTACATGTGTAGAAAACTACACACTGGGACTAAACATTGTGAGGCACTGCTGTCAGTTTGTGTTATAACCGTACGTTTGTTTCAGTCTAGCTCGAGTGGACATGAATATGTTTATGGACCCACAGAGAACGACCCCTGCTCCTTAGTCCTTTGTCTCTAAGGACATGGGCCCCCATCACCTGAGGATTTATCAGTGGAAGGACAACTACTACCCAGCAAGTGTCACACAACAGCAGGTAAGATAGTTTTAGTAAAAATATTAGTCATCAAACTGTTTTGAGGCTATAACGCCACAGCTGCTCAGTAAATTTTAATTAGTACAATTGTTTTTGCACATTAACCCAACTTTAAAATGTCATGTTTACAGAGACGATGCAGTCAAGTCTTGAGCTTTTTTTTAAATTGATTTAAACAATCAATATATTGATTTGTTAATGTTTACTCTGAAGTGTTCATATATTTGGTGCTGTGTGATTCTTTCAACATCGATAATACAATGTTATTTAAGTGTTCATCACAGACTTTTGTCATCTTACTTAACCACAAGCTATGGGAAGTAGATAAAACTATGAAAATAAACAGTAAATTGATTTTTTTTTTTAAACTCTTTAATGATACACAAGCATTCTCACAAAGAATAACTCAACACTTTTCTAAATAAGGACCTACTCCTACTATTTATTTGTACAGCACTACAAGAATCAGTTCATTCTTTTTTAAAACCACAAATCAAAATGAATTTTTACCACCAATGGGGTTTTGCTTCCGTCACAAGAAAATTAAATTAATAATTACACCAGATGGGATTCAAACCTGGGCCTCCAGCTCAAATGGTGAAGTCCTTTACGTCCCATCTCTCTGCCTTGAGCAGCTGTGTGGCTGTTACTGCATCTCTGACACCCCAATCAGTGTTGCCAGATAGAGTCAAGGTTTTCCAGCCCAAAAATCTGTTCAAAACTGCCACATCACACAAAAATCCACCCAATCAATATATAGTTATATTTACAGTTTGAACATGAATGCACATCAGTACAGACCAAGGTAATTTAACAATATGTGGCAAAATGCAACAATCCAACAAAAAGCTTCCCACAGTTCCCAGCAAAATCAGAATGAAAACCTCCCACTTAGCAGTAAACCACCCAATCTGGCAACACTGATGTTGAGGTCTGCAGAAGATCAGGATACAGAAGAAGATGTCTCCTGTTGTCCTTCAACCATCTGAAGGTTTGCTCCTCCACCAAGTTTAAGTTCAGGCTGATCTGCTGTCTAGCCCACGTTGTGTTATCTGTATCCCAAGTTAAAGAGGTGTGTTAAAGTAAATTAAAATATGCAAATAATATGCAACATTTCTTCATAAAATCCACTATCTGCTTTTACTCATAGATGTGTTCTTATAGTGATTGTAATAGAAAAGATAAATACATAGACTTTTCTAATACATAGAAAAATATAACTACAACAATACCTTCTGCACCTTCACCCTCCTCCAACGTGTTTTGTAACTCTTTATTCTCCGGCAGAGCAAGAACAGCAAAGGCTTTTCTGCAAGCATCCGTTATTTTTCTGATGTTCCAAGCAGGAAACTTGAACATTTTCAACTTGGAAATTATGTCACTCCGACTTCCCAGTTCCGATGTAACTGGAATGCAACAATAGTACAGATGTACGGGTAAATACCTCCATTCTTGATGGTTTTACTTGTTTAGATCTGAAGCAAACTACACATTCCTTCTTCAACAGATTAGTGTGAAAAAAATCCTCATGGTCATGTTTTGCATGTAGTAAGGCCAAAAAAACTCATACCCCTTAAAACGTTGCAGACAGCAAATGATTTATTGAACATTTTATAAATCTTAATGTAGTTGTCTCCCAGAACCCTGCCTTGCATTTGCAAATTCTAATTTAAAACTGGACCTCTAATCCATTTACAGGCCCAACAGAGGTAATTTAAACTGCTAATGAAATCACATGAGCCATTTCAAGCGCTGACTCACTGAGCTAAAATAAAAAGAAGTTCAACCGAAGTTATTCCTCATCTTGATGCCTTTGTGACCCAATGAAGCCTATTTTATACACACTATTAACTCCTGAGTTAAATGACACCGCTGAGTGTTTTGAAACCAAATACTGAAGCTGATTCTCATAAAAGAGAACAGAGACTCAAACTTTTCCCATCTTTCCACTCAACACTCTTTTCTTGAAGGAGGTCCAGACACGAGACTCGTGACTTAGATGAAAAGGCTATTATGACGTTTAGGAAGTAAATCTTTTTAAAGCTCTTTGCAGCTTTGTTTCTCAAAACTGCATTATTCTACCAGTGCACTGATCTTGTACTTTGTACATTTTACACAACTCCATGATGACTTAGTATCAGCCGGATGAAAAGCTGGTTTATTGTCTATGAGAAGTGCCAAAATTGAGTCTCGCTGATGTGGGTGCATGAAAAAAGTGATCTGTAATCAGAGTATTTTTCTACCTGCACACCCTGCTGAGTTTTGTACTTTGCCCCATCAGAACTAGCTTTTTACAGGGTGTGCAGCAAGTATTGTTTCATTGGCCAGAACTTTGTGGGTGTGTTTGTTCATGAAAGTGGACGCTGATCTCTGAGTTCAGTATCTACTGAGGAGCAGCTGAGACTGTTAGAAAATACAGCCAGCAAAAATTACAAAGATAGTCTAAAAACTTGTGGAGCAGCCAAAGAACTGGTGGAAACAGATTTGACAATTTATGTGCACACAGGAGACAACTTCTTACTTCATCTTATTTTGAACCTACAAAGCCCCCAACAGCCTAGCGCCATCTTATATTACAGATATTGTTCCACAGGGCTTTCTCTGTTGCAGGTCCAAGACTGTGGAATGAGTTGCCACTGCGTGTCAGGCAGGCTCCCACACTCAGTTTTTAAGTCTCGCTTGAAAACCCACTTTTATTCCCTTGCCTTTGACACGGTGTGATTTGTTTTGATCCTGTGTGTAGTCTGCAGTGTTGGACATTAAGTTATTATTTGTATCTATATTTTTATTGTATGTTTTCCTGTCCGCTGTGCTTGTTTGTTTCTATTGTACAGCACTTTGGTTGGACTTGTTGCTGTTTTAAATGCTCTATAAATAAATTGGTATGGTATATATAGAGCACTTCGCTCTCAGACTGCAGGTTTACTTGCGGTTCCTAGAGTTTCCAAAAGCAGAATGGGAGGAAGATCTTTCAGTTATCAGGCTCCTCTCTTGTGGAACCAACTTCCAGTTTCTGTTTGTGAGGCTGACACATTGTCTGATTTTAAGACTGGGATTAAGACTTTCCTTTTTGATAAAT